TTTTTTTCAGGTCTGATTTTCGCTATTGCTTAAATAGCGCTATCTACTGCGAGGATCGTGCATCATACGCATTATGATCTACTGGACCATTATTTTTATCTGGCTAGACCATTTTAACCCCTGGACCATCATCTCTAGTTAGACTATTACTGAGAATATTCTACATGCAACCTTTAGTGTTATGAGAGCTATTTGTGGCCATTAAGTACTTATGTATACATCTTTTCATTATCATTCTAAGGGGTTGCAATCTGATTTGAATTAACTTACCAAAGGCAATGATACTGACAGTAGCACTGCTTCCTGCTCCTACACTGTTGACAGGAACACAAGTGTACGTACTCTCTATCTTCCTTCCCAATGACGTTAAACACACCAGAGCTGCTGTTACTAATAAGGTTGCCATTAAAGTAGAAGTTATATGTATGAGCATCAGGGTAATGGCATCCACACCACACTTCAGCATCACTGTACTATTGCGTAGCACTGAAGTATTCGTGGGAGCAGTTGTAATTACACTTGATGTTTGAGGATCTTTTGGACGGAAAAGTCAAATAAAACAAATTGAGTGTGTGCATATTGGCAAAAGTTTAGGATTGAGCTAGGTAAATATACAGCAAAAGACTCACAAGATACATGTGTTGAAAATTAACTTACAGTGAACATCAGTGGTGTAGTTAGAAGTAACATTTCTCATGATTTCATTCCAGGCCATGCACTGGTGCATTCCAGCGTGACTTCTGTTAATTGCTGTTATAACATAAACACTGTCTGTCACCAGAACCTTTCCAGACTTTATCCAGGCTGAGTGAGGTGATGGATTGCCAGTCCCATTACAATATAACATTACTTTGTCTCCTTCAGTTACTGGACTAGGGCAAAGTTGTATGGCTGGCTGTGGTTGGTCTGTAAAGACATGTTTATCATTATATTACAAGAGCAGTATCACTTCATTATCAGTATTGATAATTAGTATAAGAAAAGGAATTGCAAGTAAAATCCTGAAATAAGCTCTACATGGAATTCAGGCAAACAAATTTGTGCACATGAAGATACATGTAAACCAAAAGTATTCTCTTAGTCACTCGGCTATGATATTTTCATTATTTGTTGTAACCTTACTAGTACAACTGTATGATTCCTTGGAGAGTTTAAGTTTGGAACACTCAAGTAGCAAGCAGATTTGAGATATATTTGCAATGACAAATTTATGTCCTAGAAACGTGAATGTATGCTTAATGCAACTACAAATTTAAGGCCATAGTGTTCACTTTCAATGTCTAGTACAAACTGCCCTCTTCACTGCAATTTCTACTTACAGTGAACAGTAACATTAACTGCAGCTGTAGCTGGTGTCCCCACTGTTGTGTTACTGAACTTTGATCTTATGTGTCACGTGCGTGTGTTGTTCGGTATTTAGGCATGTGCACTGGAGAAATGGGGAGGAGAATAAAACATGGCAGTTTATGAACGCAAGCACGTTGTTGTCTCTTGAATAACTCGACACCCACTCCATTACTGACTGTACATCGATACTGGATCATGTTGTCGGCTGTCCTGGGTCGATCTGTTCATATTCACAGACAATGGTTAATGATGGTACTAGAGAGAACTTTGGAACTACCAATTCTTGTCCATGATATGCTGGGTTCAGGTTTACCAGATACATTAGAGCTCAATGAAATGTTATCTCCTTCTTCTAGAACCACTGCAGAGATTGACACATGCACTGATGGAGCCACTAAAATCATAACAGAGAGCAGAAAATCATTTTAAACCTTTCATCCCTAAGAGTGACTAACATCTAACTTCTCTCTCTGTCAGTATCACTGTTTAATCAAACACCTAGGTCATGAGAATAACAAAAGCAATCATCAACCAAGGAAGAGAAAAGTTTAGTAATAAAAGCAAAGAGTTACATAAACAAACTAAAAAACTGACACATTAACTTCTATATAACATAAGCTAAAGGGGGTAACTTTCTAAAGAAACTGTGGTGCTGCCTCTGTAGGAGTATCACATAGAAATGTTGCTTTTATCAACCCAGTAGTTTAATGTCAATTGGCCACATTAGGGGTTTCAATGCTCATGTTTCTAACATTAAACAAGCCCTTTGTCATTGCTCTGATGAAGGCCTAGTGCTAGAAACATCATTGACCTTGCCAGTTTGAGCAACCTCTTCCACAACAAGGGCCACTGACTCAGAAATAAAAATACTGTAAAAAAAACACTAGCACTTGAAAACATATATCAGGTAAAGATGTGGAGCCCAAATTGATAAACATGCATTTAGACAAAATTGTAAGATGATGAGAATTAAAGTGCTATAACTATTTCTATCTCTCAGTTTGCACCATAGGGAACGGGCCACTTACACCATGTATAGTTAATTGGCAAGCCTAAAACAGAAAGTCAATACTTCAAGGATGGATTTGATATCTTTGAATGATTATGATGCATTACCATCATCACCCTTGCTTCTAATAGGGAGATGACAAAATGCGGAGCCCTACTCCATGGAGTACCCTATGGAGTACCTTAATGGAGTACCCCTAAAAGTCATGTATTGGTCAAATAAAATAATTATTTTATGAACATGGTGAACCGTTTAGATGTACATATCCTAAAATATATTGAGCTTGCCAGCTCACCAAGTGTCACAGTNCCTTCTAATATCACTTCACCTGAGTAGTCTCTTAAAATTGTAGCTTATCAAATATCTACAAAGGATATTGTGCATGCATCCTTTACAGTTATAATAATCATTAATGGCCATTAAGTACTAATATATTAATTTTTTAAATAATTATTCTCAAGGCTGCATTCTCATTTGAAACTCACCAACAGACATGATACGGACAGTAGCATTGCTTCCTGCACCTACACTGTTGATAGGAATGCAAGTGTACTCTCAGTCTTCTTTCACAGTGATGTTAAACACACCAGAGCTGCTGTTACCAATAAGTTTGCCATTAAAGTAGAAGTTATATGTATGAGCAGCAGGATTGGTATCTACACCACACTTCAGCATCACTGTACACTGTACACTGTTGTGTTTGTAAGAACAGTTGTAATCATGCTTGATGTTGGAGCATCTTTTGGGTGGAAAAATCAAATAAAAGAAAATGAATGTTTGCATATTGGCAAAAGTTTAGGATTCAGCTAGAAAAATGTATAGTAAAAGACTCACAAGGTATAACTTAACTTACAGTGAACATCAATGGTGCAGTTCAAAGTAACATTTCTGATGATTCCATTCCAAGCCATACACTCACTGGTACATTCCAGCCTGATTTCTGTTAATTGTTGTTATAACATAAACACTATCTGTCGCCAGAGTCTTTCCAGACTTTATCCAGGCTGTGTGAGGTGATGGATTGCCAGTCCCATTACAGTACAAAGTTACATTGTCTCCTTCAGTTACTGGACTAGGGCAAAGTTGTATGGAAGGCTGTGGTGGGTCTGTAAATACATATTTACTTTCAAACCACAACAAAACAGTACTGACACACTAATACTAACACTGCTAAAAGAGTAACAGGCCTTGTGCTTGTAAACCTCCAAATACATCATTTTTTCCCCTAAGCCTTGCTTGTAGACTGTTTCATTTCAATTGGTAAGTATTCCTAAAACACTGACTTCAATAGAATACCCTCATGAAAACAACAATAAAGTAACAAAGACTTAATAATGTCACAGTACAAAATTAATGTTGATGGATGAATTTTAGGCTAATGACACTGTCATGAATAACAGTTATTGTAAGAAAATAAATATCCTCAAGTTAGCATAGTAATTCAGGCAAGCAAAGCTGCATTCATGAAGATAGACCAAACATATTCCTTTCATCTTTTGGTTTGATATTTTGATTGGTCCTTGGACAAGTCAGTGAGTGATAATATCATCATACATCATTCATTGCATTATATAATAATGAGCATATGCAGTTATCTGGCCTTAATAAATCATGACATAATTATTACCAGAAAACTACAAAAAAGTTTTACCTAGTTTTAACTCAACCGAGGGATAAAATGAAAGCACTAGCATTTGTACTGGCCTGTGTAAGTAAGATCAAACTTACAAACAAGAACTATCCTAATGTACATTTAGCATATTTACATTACAAGAAACTTACAAAAGACAGTAACTTGGGAAGTATATTGAGCTTAAATCCCACGGAATTTGCTGCTGTACATTTGTAAACAGACCCATCATCTTCTTTTATCAGTTTTGTCGGAGTAAGAGCCTCTGATGTGGACAGTTCACTAGCTGTTTCCTTCTTTTGTCCAAGTTATGCCAGGCTTTGGATTTCCAGTAGCATTACAGAACAGGGTCACCCCACTTCCTTCTACAACTTGATAAGCTGATGGGGCATGGTCAATACCAGGGGGAACTGCAGGGACAAATAATGAATGATGCAAGAGATTAGTTTCATGCATGATTACCAATATAATAACACTGTATGTTTCTTTTTTAAAAATTAACCAGTAAGAACCCACTTCTACCTTACCAGACCACAATGTTATCACGAATGCATATCATTTTCCATTGTGCAGTGTTTTACTTGTTAAAAGGTCCACCAAGGACAGAAAAATAATGTGACAGCAAATTTGGTTTATCCAACTGTCCTCTCCTTATTTCTCCTAATAATACATGTATTCATTTTCACAACTTACAACAACAACTGCATAATCACTTGGAGAGTTAAGGAAATAATACAGGTATACTGTGGGTATTTGCAGAGACTTCAGGATGCTTAACAAAAATACAGATTTGTGCATATGCTGCCCATTATAGGACTGCTTTTCTGTAGATTTTTGCTTATTCATCAGTACTACCGTACTAACAGCTTTCATCAGTACTACAGTACTAACAGCTTTCATCAGTACTACAGTACTAACAGTACTAAACCTACGTATATGAGAACGATCCTTCGCAGTAAAGCACTATTTGAGCAATAGTGAAAATCAGACCTGAAAAAAATTTTTTTTTTTTTTTTTTTTTTTT